GCGAAGCGGTTGTCCATAAGCAGGACAAGGCTTTTGAGTGTAGCTTGAATTCAGTCATTTCATCACAAAGTTATTAATCTGTCTACGCGCACAGGGAAGTTTCCTTGGATATGGAAGTGTTCTAAAGTGACAGCTTTATTCATATCAGGAACAAACCCAACAAATTATCGCCCTATTTCAATTTTACGCTCTTTCAGCAAGATCTTAGAGAATGTAATCCTCTCAGCTGTACGAATACCTTGATTGAAATAATTTACTTTCAAACAAGCAATTTGATTTTCGTTGTAAGCGTTTAACAGCCACTGCATTCTCTGGCTTTGCCGATGAAGTCTTGTTAAACTTGGAAAAAGGGAGCATTTGTGTTGCTGTATTTCTGGGGTCAGCGGCATAATTGATCAGGAATACTGAATCGTATCTTATAACTGTGTCTCATAAGCAGTAAACAAAATATTTGCTCGCAAATAGAATTTTTATGCCTTCTCTCTTTGACCCGGGTTTATTTCACAATCAATGGGGACTGGGTTTGGGTCAGGGGTCAATGGCCATTGCGCTTGACCCCCTCTGAGGGTTTTTACAAGTCACATTAACTCCCTAGCCATGTGCTGATCATTCGCCTCGATTACTCGGAGTGAGAAGCTGTTTTTTGACTCCCTCCTCCTCCCTCTGATCAGCCCACTTTCTCTTTTTGTATATATAGTGTGGGTGCGTTTTTCTTGGCCCGCACCTTTACTGGGCAAACACCTTAGCGGAATTCATTCTTGTTCTGTTTGTTTCAATAAAAGCGGCTTTGGACCTATTGTCCATGGCCATATTGCTCCAACTTAAGTTTGTTATTTTTTGGTGCCCAGTAAACAGAGCTCAGGCAAGAGTAACATTTGTAGATTTGTTTTGGGCAGAGAGAGAAACGCATAAAAACTGATCATACCGTTATTTTCGAGTGCTTTTTAAGCTTACGTTTTCAAAGAGCATCTATTTCTGCATAACTGTGAAAAACGAATCGCCGCCAGATGAGTTATTGGATTCATCAATTACTAGAGCACAACGCGAGCAATGCGCGAAAAGGGCAGTTAACACTTGCAGCAAGTTTCAACCACAGCAGGTGTATTTAGAAATTTCTAAATTTTGAAGAAAGTAAAAGGAAACCAAAGCTTCCAATGCCATTTCAGGTATTTTTTTTCCTTCGGAACTCTTAGGTCCAAACGAGAAAAATTCGATGTTCTACTTATAGGCCGATTCTCGATATCTTCAGACTCACGATCGCGGAAAAAAATTTCTATATTTCATAATATTTGCGAATATTTTACCATGATTGTGTCAATGAGTTAAGAAATATGATTTGAATTTAACGCGCACCGCCCTAGAATAAACACCGCCCATGGATATAAAAACATAATTAATTTATTAGATTCGCCAACAAGCAGGGACACCGCAACAGCTTGCGCCAATTACTGCGGGCCCAGTAAACACACCCATGTGATTGCGGTGTCGTTTGTTTCGGTAGTGGTAGTGGGTCGGTGAATGTTTCGTCGGATGAAGTCACCACAACCGCTACGACTACAGCAACCATACCGTACATAAAAGGCATGTCTGAAAACATCTCGCGCATCTTACTACCCTTCAATATCCGCGTCGCCCACAAACCCATCCCCACACTACGTCAGTTACTAACCAACGTTAAAGACAAAGACGAACCGAGGAACAGACAGGGAACGATTTATAAGATCAATTGTTCCGACTGCCAAGCCTCCTACATCGGTGAGACTGGCAGAAACCTCACAACAAGACTGACTGAACACAGACGGGCGACGAGGAAAGGTGATGTCAGCAATCACATTGCTGAACACCATCGACTTACCAACCACAACATTGACTGGGACTCTGCGCAATGCCTAACCTACAGCACTGACTATTTTCAACGACTGACTCTGGAAAGCTGGTTTACTAACTTAGAACAGACTCCCCTAAACAGATGTCAACAACTACCCGCCCCATACAAACGACTCATTCACGACATAAACATCACAAACGACCGAAAAAGAACAACCTAGCTTTACCGACAGACCGAAACAGACCAATCACGAACGACTTACGTCACTTGAGTCTTACAGCCAATAACATCACGGCAAAACCAACCGATCATTTCACACGAACTGGAATAAGAACATTCTACTGACAACAATCACTCACTTGACTCTGATGATGACTTCCGCACAGGTTGTCGAAACGTCAGTCACTGCCACCGACAACAGTCCTTCTCAGGACTACACTCACCCGGACGATCAGACTACACCTTCACATGTTACCCCCGGGTTCAAACCATTTACTGCAAAAATTAANGAACTCTCTTCCGGACTCTCCTCAGTTATTTTAAGACCCCGAGTGTTGGTCCGGCTGGGGCTTGAGCCCTAAACCTCCCGCACAACAGTACGGCGTTCTACCAATTGAGCTAACCAGGAGGCGGTTATATCAACACTGTTAGTCGGGCAAACGTGATACTATGAATACGAATAAATTTGGAAAGTTAATGATGACTCGTAGCCTATCATGATATCCTTTGTGCACGCTGATTGGGTAAAATTTGGTAAATTTCATGAGCCTCTTTGAAAAGTTAAAAATTTTAAAAGCGGCGATTGGTTTTGCCCCCATGAAATGAATCGACAGTTTAATTATATTTTGAATTATTTCGAATCGACAGTTTCATTATATTTTGAATCATTTCGAGCCGACAGTTGAATTATATTTTGAATTATCTACTAATTATTCAGGTTCTGTTTCTGGATACCAGTACACTTCGAGCGCCTTTTTGTTTTCATTGGTCAACAAGCCAGGCTGGGGACCAGTGAAACTAACCCAACAAGGCCAGTATAGTTCTGACAAGAGCTCTTCCACATACAGTCTTCTTAACTATGGACCCACATTTGGTGGAGGACACGATCTTAAAATTGTCAACTACGCCTCATCCAACACAGATTCTTACACAAACCTTGGACACACCTACAGTCCACCATCTGGCCACAGTTATCATACATCTTTTACCAAATCATTCCTGGCCGGAAGTTACAATTTTCGACCTGATGAAGTTGAAGTGTTTTACGAAACTACTTAACACAGATCTGTTGAATCAAGTCTCATGAAAATTTCGCTCAGGATTATGAAAACTAAAAATCGTTAATGCAGTCAATTAAATTGACATATAATTTGCATGTTTCTTTTGTAGACTCCTCATCAATTTAAAAGCTTATAAAGTAGTGTAGATTTAAAATAAACAGCATGAAAAGTACACAAGTAATAAAAGAGTTCAAAAAAGTTTCTATCAAAAGGTTTGTATGTATTGGTGAAAATTAAGGTGGTTATCGTTTTTACTTCCGCTCCCTGAATCAGTCGATAGTCACATGAGTCACTTATGCGCGCGCATGACCCGCTGGATTTCAGTAACTGGCACAGCACCGGAGACACTTTTTTTCCTTCAGGTGTTTGTGCATTTTTCATTTATGCAATTTAGCAGAAAGACTTGCCCATTAATGTGACCAAAGTTCGAGATTGGTTGCCCAGGATATTATTTTATTCATTGATTACATTTCAAAGTAATTTCTTTAAATAAAAAAAAAACCCACTTGCACGACACACGGAACGTCTCCTGATGAAATCCTAATTATTTGTTTCTCCTGGAGAAAAATAAAATTGGCTTGAATTGTTGAAAGGCTCGAAAATTCAGGAATAAACTTAAAGTGTTCGACTGGCGAAGGAAATTCGAGGCTAAGGGGCTTCGAGACATCAGCAGTTTCGAGGACCGTGTCACTAGTGTGACCGCGACACCATGACTATGGTCGCTTTCGTAATGAATGGTTCGGAGAAATCTGGCACTAGTTCGCGCACAGGTG